CCCACTTAAATCCATTAAAATATAACTAAATTACAGAATCCCGAGCCTCTGACAACACACAGGGCTCCACCCCACAGGACATACAGTATCGTACATACATGGACATGTAAATAGTCAATTACAACAGACATTAACCACAGTTTAGTTAATCCAAATATTTCTAGAGTTTACAGAATTCTCAATTCCTTACATTTTATGTCAGAGGATGAACACAATACTCTCTTGTCCCAACAGCAGCAACATTCAGCTACTCCGTAGCAAATATCTGGCTACTGTGCACCGCTCCTAGAATCTCTTGGGAGGAATTTAATACATAAAACGTGAGCGAAAGGCCCAGTAGGAATAATTTGAAATGACTTAAAAATAAATGAATATATAAATGTGCGAGTAAATAAATAAATGGGTAAATGAATAAATAGACATTCAGTTTCAACAGACAGCTGGAACCTCACATCCTTTTTCTCAAGGAAATAAATGTAAAATCTCCATATTACAGGCTTCAACAAGTAATTAGTACATATTACTTACCTAACCAAGTGCCTCGTCTACCCGGACCGAGTTTCGGGTTCTGCCCCTGAGGATGCACTATCCGCATCCTATCTAGGCTTACAGCAATAGACTCTCTTACCAGTTCATAAGATCTCTTAGTTTAAGAAATCATTCATTAACTTTCTGAATTCGTTATTATGACCCCACGAACTACTCAAGCCGCGGGCCCCATGACTGGGCAAGCCATGAGGTTCCATGACTGGACAAGCTATAGATTCCATGGACAGGACAAGCCATGGATTCCATAAACTAAACAAGCCACGATTTTCAAAGAGTTTTTCTTTCGCAAACCAACCTCTTTCTTTAAAACATTTCCAAGGCCAAAATTCTTTTGAAATCAGGCTCACAAGGAAAAGCGATAGAAATCCTACTTCGCACTATCAAACCTGGGACTAGCGTTGCCTTTTTCAGCTTCCGCTTCCTCAAGCCCCTTCAGTCTGAATCCTCAGCGATCACTGATGTAAGACAACACTTTAGGATTAATTCTCATTCCTAAAGCAATCCAATCTCAATTAGATACCAAGTTTCCAATAGTGTGCCCTAATCCATTTTCATGTTTCAAATTATCATTCCAAGGGTTTTCAATCTCATATCAAGGATTACAAATGCTAATCCATTCATCTCAAGTCCCCAAATGAAGCTAATTTGGGGTTTTCCTGAAAACAGGGGTCAAAACAGCAATTTTAGGCCAAACAGGGTCAGACCCCTATGTCAACCGGTTGACCGGTGACAAAACAGTACATCACCACCGGTCGACCGGTGGTGTGCAATTCGGTCGACCAGACAGGTCGACTGGTCAGGCCAATGCAATCCGGTCGACCGGTTACCATGTGATCCGATCGACCGGACAGGTCGACCAGTGGCACCAGCTGCGCGAGAGAAGCTCGCGGAAACTAGTCCGAAAACCTGTAATCTCAGTCCCAAATTGAAATATTTCAAGGGACAACCACTAGATCTGGGTTCTTGGTCCTAAAACAAGTCCAAAGAACCCAAGATCTCCAATTTGTACCAAAGTTTTACTCAAAAACCATCAAAATCTATTTCGAACCAAAAATGAGTTTTAAATATGAAAACTTAGGATTTTAAGAGAGGTTTTTCAGAAATCTTACCTTGAATCCTTCTCTTGATGTTGAAACTTCTTGAAACTTTCCTTTGGTTCGAAATCCAGTTGATTTGAAGCAAAATTGGAAGAGAGAGAGAGTGTGTGGGAGAACGAGAGAGTGAGAGAGAGTGAGAGAGCGGGGTGCACGGGAAGGAAGGCAGGAAAAGAAAAAGAAAGAAAAGGAAGAAAAGAAAAAGAAAAAGAAAAGAAAATAGACAGGTACTAACATTTAAAGGAAACAGTTCATTAATGCGTCCATACACACTTTTGGGTTAAAATAAAAAATTATTGAGAATACTTAAATACCATGGAATTATTTAAACTCACACGTGTTAGAAACATTTATTAATTAAAACTCAATTAATTAAATCAGATTAGGCACACTAATAATCTCAATTACCTTTATTAATCTCATCTAATTCTTTAGGGTGTTACAGCTCCACCCCTCTTAGGCAATTTCGTCCCCGAAATTAAGGCTTACCTCAAAGTGTAAACAGATGCGGATACTGCTCCTGCATCATCGTTTCAAGCTCCCATGTCGCTTCTTCAACTCCATGGTGCTGCTATAACACTTTTACTAACGGGATCTCACGATGACATAGACTCTTTATTTTACGGTTAAGAATCTAAACTGGTGCCTCCTCATATGACGCGTCATACTATATCGGAACGTCAAACCACTGCACTACAGCTTCCGGCTCAGGTTGACATTTTTGAAGCATGGAGACATGAAACACGTCATGCACGTGAGATAATTCAAGCGGTAAAGCCAACCGATAAGCCACCACTCCGACTCATTGCACGATCGGGAATGGTCCCACATACCTTGGTGTAAGTTTCCCTTTCACACCAAACCGAATAACTCCCTTACGTGGGAAAACCCTCAGCAAAACAAAGTCGCCTTCCTGGAATTTGATGAGTGCATAATTTATGCACTCATTCGTTATTCCTTTAGCTAGTTTCGGCGTGTTTTTCCTCAAGTTGTTATGTGGATTTGATGACTTTCCCTTGAGTGTGTAGGAAAGGGTGAAATCGCTGAGTGTTGAGGCATTTTGGATAAAAAAGACAGAGAATGAGGTGATATGGCGCCTTCAGATGGCGATACGACTCGAAAAGGAGCAAAATCGAGCAAACCTGTGCGAAGGACCAGCGAGGGATGCGATATGTCGCCTCCTTTGTGGAGATATGTCTATGCATTTAGGCGATATGTCACATATTCTATGGGATATGTCACCTGAGTTACCCGATTTTATTAGAAACACATGTTTTGCCCTAGTTTGGTGCGGGGATTTATATGGAAAGTCAGAATTGGCTTCTTAGGTTGTGAAATTGAGAAGTGGAATTCCAGGAATTGTTTCTAGAGTGGAACTTAATGAAGGTAGGGGTGAATAGTTTTTTAGAGATATAGGCTTGATATCACCTACACATTCTTTATGCGGCACTCGAGAGAGGGTATAAGGATACATATCACTCTAGGTTCTTGAGAACGTTGAGTTAGGTTAGGCACATTACTACGGAGAAACATAATCGCAATAGAGTGAAGTCAAGACCCTAGCATTGTCATTATATTGATTTTTCATTTTAATTTCAGCGCGTGTTATTGTTGTTGATTTTATAATGCAAGTATACGTATCGCAAACAAGTAATATAGAGTGAATAGAGTATCGATCCCACAAGGAATTAAAATTAAAATCTGTTAAGTACTAGAATTAAACAACTTAATCTTATTCAATAAACAAAACAATTTGACTAAATGTAAACTAAAGAAAATAAAATAATGAGCAAAAAGATTAATGATTCTATCAAGTAAGTCAACCTAGAATTACAATTTCCCTCAACACTTTCATTTAAGCAATTTCACCCTTCCTCATTCCGATTAATTAAACCCAAATTGCTAATCAAGATTCCTAGTTTTATTTAAGTGACTCTTTCGACATCCCATAAACATACCTATTTCAAGTAATTCACTATATTTCTATGAGAATCAACTCAAAATAGATTCAATAAACACAAATCCCAAATTGATTGCATATGGCATGGAAGTATATTTCTATCTCACACACAAATCTGAACAATTCTGATAAATTGATAAAAGATCATATGCTATTCTATCTAGGGCTAAACGCAAAATCAACCTTTTCCAGCTAATTGAGGTTTTCTAGAAACAATCTAACCATTGGCCGAATAATTAGAAGCAATAAAGGCAAGATAGAATAAACAACTGAATTTCATTCATCATGAATGAGAAAAAACGTGAAAATAACTAAAACTATATGTTGAGTTCCATTGCAATTCCAGGCAAAAGAAATTAGCCCATAACCAAATTAATAAAGATCATCAGAAAAATAGAAAGATTCATCTGCAAACGTTTTTTAAGGAAGATGAAAGAATAAATTAATTCTAGAAATACTGATGATGTGCTCCAATTCTTCTGTCCCCCTATCAATCTGTGCAAAATCTCCTTTTTCTTCTTGGTCTGTGAGCAAACTTCCTTCCGTTTCCCCCTCTCTTCCGTAATCTCCTCTGCCCACCTTTGTTGCTTTTTTTTTTCTTTTTCCTCTTTCCGTGATCTCCTCCTTCAAATCTTCCAGCCACCCTCTTATTCCATAAAACCAAGGGATAGAGCCTCGCCAGCCATAAATCTCACTCTTCCATGATCTTGTGTTAATCTCTTTTATTTTTTATTTTTCTTTTGAAATTCAAATCCGCCTCTTCTATCCTACACAACCGTGAGGATAAGCTTTCATAAAAATAAAGTAAAATAACAATATCACTAAGTTAACTTAACTTAATTAAAAATAATATAAAATAAATAAAAAATTCACAAGAACATAGCTAATTTAGGTGTACAAAAGAATGGTAAAATAACTCTATTTTATAGAGTTATCAGTTATTCATTACTGTCATCTTTCCTTTTCATTTAGTTTTCCTTTATTTTAGTTTTTCTTTGAGTTTATCACATCCAAATTTGATCGCTTAGATAAAGTAAGATATGATATTCGCAATAGTTAGTTTACATTCTTAACGTCAATCCTCGTGGGACGATATCGGTCTTAGGACCACTTTATTACTTGTACGACTTGTGCACTTACAAGCATAGTCAAAGTTTTTGCAACAAGTTTTTGGCGCCGTTGCCGGGGATTGAACGGCTAAGATTTAGACTACTATAGTGAAGAAATATCTTGTTTTAATCTAAGTTTTTTTCTATTTGTATTTATTTATCTATTTTTCTTTGGTTGTGTTCGTCGGTGCATGCAAAAAGCATGTGGCTCGGAACTCTTGCCTTTGGACTCAGAAATTGAACGAACTATTCAAGCTTTAAGGAGAACGATGAGCTAGGGCTAAAAACATGGCCGAGGGACAAAACCACTTACACCAGCAACGGACGTTGCAAGATTATTTCAAGCCCGTGGTGAACGAGAATTATTCGGGCATCCAACATCAACAAGTCAATGCCAACAACTTCGAGCTCAAGCCGGCCCTCGTCAACATGGTCCAGCAGAACCAATATGGAGGCTTGCCGCACGAGGATCCCAATATCCACTTGGCCACTTTTCTGGAGATTTGTGACACAGTGAAAATTAATGGAGTGAGTGCTGAGATCATCCGTTTGAAACTCTTCCCATTCTCCTTGTGAGATCGGGCTCGGTCATGGCTTCAATCTTTACCATCAAGGAGTGTAGCCGCATGGGAGGACATGGCCCAAAAGTTCCTCATCAAATTCTTCCCGCCCTCCAAGACGTCTCAACTGAGGGCCGAGATTACTTAATTTCGGCAGTTTGAGTATGAACAATTATAAGAGGCATGGGAACAGCTTAAAGAGATGCTCCGTAAGTGCCCTCAACACGGTATTGAGGATTGGTTCCAAGTTCAACTTTTCTACAATAGGCTTACTGGGCAAACTAAGGCCCATATTGATGCAGCGGCCGGTGGAACCATCTTATCAAAGACACCCGGGGATGCACTCAATCTCTTTGAGGACATGGCAATGAATAGTTGTCAATGGCAAAACGAGCGGTCCACTGTGAAGAGAGCAGCAGGGATTTATGATGTGGATCAAATGACATCTCTCATGGCTCAAATGGCGCTATTGACTAATCAAATCCAAGGTCTTACCGCAGTTAATGCAAATGGTAATTAAGAAGCGGTAAAGATGGCACAAGCTTCGAACTTGAGTGATTCATATGATGGACAATGTCACTTTGTCAACCATAACTACAACTTTAGGCCCAACAACAACTTACCGACATACTATCATCCTGGGCTCTGCAACCATGAGAATTTCTCTTATGCCAACAACCGGAATGTTTTACAACCAACCCTGGAGTCAAGTAAACCGGAAATGGAAAAGCCTTCCTCATCACTTGAAGAGCTTTTGAAGACGTATATTGTGGATTTTAAGGCTCGCCTTGATCAACATGACACACGTCTCAACAACATTGAAACACACTGCACCAACTTGGGGGGCACTATGAAGGCACTAGAAACACAAGTTGGCCAATTGGCTAATGCTATAAAATGGCAATCATCATGGTCCTTCCCGAGCGACACCGAGAAGAACCCAAAGGAGTGCAAGGCCATCAAATTGAGGAGTGGCAAAGAGCTTGAAGGCCCGAGTGTTCAAAAAGCCATGGTTGATGATGAGCCTACCAAGAGCAATGACAACAGTAAGGATAAGTCAATAGAGGAAAACCTGAAGGCCAAGAAGGAACCACCGGTAGTTAGACCAGGTTCGATCACTTTTCTGGATAATCCACCTCGTATCAGTCCCCCATTGCCATTCCTCAACGGTTCCAGAAGAAGGCGCTTGACGAGCAATTTGAGAAATTTCTCAATATCTTGAAGAGGATCCACATCAACATCCCTTTCGTGGACGCTCTCAAGCAAATGCCAAACTATGCCAAATTTATGAAGGAGGTGATGTCCAAGAAGCGCAAACTCGAGGACTATGAGACAGTGAAGCTTACAGAAGAATGTAGCGCTATCATAAAGAGACAACTACCAGAGAAATTGAAGGATCCGGGAAGTTTTACCATCCTATGTGCAATTTGCGGGTCAACTTTTGAGAGAGCTCTTTGCGACCTAGGAGCTAGCATAAAACTCATGCCTTTGTCGGTGTTCTGAAAACTTGGGCTTGGAGAGGTCACACCTACAACCATCTCCTTGCAAATGGTGGATAGGTCCATTACCTACCCATGGGGAATCATTGAAGACATATTGGTAAAGGTAGATAAGTTCATCTTTCCGGTTGATTTTGTAGTTTTGGACATGGAAGAAGATCATGAAATCCCCATTATCCTTAGAAAGCCTTTCCTAGCTACCAGAAGGGCTTTAATAGATGTGCACAGTGGGAACTTGACTTTAAGGGTGAATGAGGGGAAAGCCATCTTCAACATCTTAAATCCCAAGAGGTCTCCGCAAGAAAAGCTGACGTGCAACCGAGTGGAGGAATTGAAATCTTGTATCAAGGAGTTTACTCAAGAAGTTGTGCCGAAAGATTCTTTGGGGAATGGTCCTACCAATTCCCTAACTAGAAAAAAATTGAGCAATGAACATTGTCCCAAGAAAGATGATGCGGGGGAGTATATTGTTAAGAGGGATGAAGCCATTACCACCCTGATGAACAATGAAACGGTGGTGGCCAAGAAGAAAGCCAAGAAGAAGCATGACCAACGAACCTCGTGGCAAGATCTCACTCCGGGCTAACGCGCCCTTCTTTTCAACTTTCAGTTGAAGCTCTCCCCTGAAAAAGTGGAGTCAAGATTGTCTAGACCATTTAAGATCAAGCGAGTGGCTTCATTCTGTACCATCGAGCTAGAACTAGGAGGATGAAGTCGTGTTCATGTCCAGCTAGGGACGTTAAATCAAGCACTTCATGGGAGGCAACCCATATATGATTTTTCATTGATTCTGTGTCAAATGGGTTTCATTGTAAAAAAAAAAAGAAGAAAAAAAAAGAAGCAAATCAGGAGAGGGGGACAAAATGACAGGCAATATGTCGCCTGTCAATAGGCGATATGTCGCTTCAAGGATTTTGACAGCCATATTAGTCTCCGGAAACCTCAGATGGCGAACTTGATGGTGGAATTAATGATGCTGGATGAGGTATGGCCGATAACACTTAGACCGGCCGTGAGGTATTGTTTTTCTTTCCTTTGCCCTTTGAGTTTTAACGCCGAACAGTGGGGACACTGTTCCTTTTAAGTTTGGGGGGAATATCATTTTCTTTTCGTTTGTTATCTTGGCATTTGTACCGAACTGAGTGTTGTATTACATATGACTTTGGGCTTCGATGATGACTTCATGCTAAGCCCTCTTCTTTCATTCAATATGTGTCTCTATATCTTTGACTGTGTGCTTGATCTATCATGCTTGCTTTTGATGTTGTTATCTCTATTTCTGAGCACATGTCTATCTACCTTTCCTTATACGCTATGTGGCTTTGTGTGCAATTTTGAGACTTTTTATTGGAATGAGAACGCTAGAACTTACCCGAAGGATTTGTCGAGGCGAAATCCTAGGTCTTTTTTGTGTTGATAGGATAAAGGCCCTCTTTGGACCGTTTGAGCCAAAAAGCTAACCTGAGCAACATGTTATCCATAGAGTCCCTCTGTGAGCCGAAAAAAAAAACTGGATTCATTTGTTTTACCGCCTGAGAACCTAAGCCTTGCAATATATCATACATTACCTTCATCCACTCACCTTGGCATCACACGTGACCCTTTCACCGAGCGTCAAACGCCTGGCCAACGAGAGTCGTTAAGTGAGGAGTTTTCTGAGACCATCCTTGAACCTTTACATTCATCCCTCACTGTTCTAAATGCCAATTTGACTTCGTGTTCTAAAAAAAAACAAAAAAAAAAAAGAATTCATGTTTGGGGATCGATCATAGTAGGGGATAGTGTTTATGGACATTACATTCGAAGGTGAAGAGGTGAATCTAGAAGTAAAGGGCATTGGTTTCGGTTCGATGAACGAAGGAGTCTATTATTGTCACCGTGCTTGTCTAGGGTGAGTCTGCTTTTCTTTTTCCGATTCTCATCTAACGTTACAAGCCGAGTAAAGTCCTCTTGATCTCCATGACATTTGACCTACATTAGTGGAGATGAGTCAGACGGGTGAGCCTATGGTTGTTCTGTTTTAATGTTTATCTTGCGATTTGTCTTGATACACATGAGTCACATTTGTGTTTAGGTGTTGTAGATATGATTTGCACTCACTTACACGGAGATGACAATGTTAGAAGTTGAGTATTGATGGGTTGAAATTCTAGTCCTTATCCAGATTCACATGTTGGGTGGGTGCATAGGTGTTTAGTAACTTGAGATTATATGCCTGAGCTCTATGTTTACACTCTCAGTCGGTTCATTTCTATTTCTTTTGTTTTGTTTTTAGTTTGTTATTTTAGGTTGTTTCGTTTTGTGTTCTTTTGTCCATTTCCCTTTGTGTGTTTTGTTTTATATTAGGTTTTTCTGCTTGAGGACAAGCAGCCGTTCAAGTTTGGGGATGTGATAAGTGCGTAATTTATGCACTCATTCGTTACTCTTTTAGCTAGTTTTGGCGTGTTTTTCCTAAAGTTGTTATGTGGATTTGATGACTTTCCCTTGAGTGTGTAGGAAAGGGTGAAATCGCTGAGTGTTGAGGCATTTTGGATCAAAAAGACAGAGAACGAGGCGATATGGCGCCTTCAGATGGTGATGTGACTCGAAAAGGAGCAAAATCGAGCAAACATGTGCGAAGGACCAGCGAGGGATACGAAATGTCACCTCCTTTGTGGAGATATGTCGCTGCCTTTAGGCGATATGTCGCCTATTCTAGGGGATATGTCGCCTGAGTTACCCAATTTTATTAGAAACACGCGTTTTCCCCTAGTTTGGTGTGGGAATTTTTATGGAAAGTCAGAATTGGCTTCTTAGGGATGTGCTGGACATGGAATATAAGGAAAAGAGGCCGAAAATTGAAGGGAGAAGGAGAAAAATGAAAACAAAAATTGCAAAGGAAGAAAATCTGAATTGGAGAGGATTCCAGAGGGAAATTGGAGGGATTCTTCAAGAATTCTAAGCGTTCTTCATTCTCTTCTTCTCTTTCTTTTTGTATTTTTCTAGATTTCAAATATTATTTGGAGATTGTGAGCCACATGATGTGTGGCTAATTTTCTTATTTGTTAGGGTTTAGATGAATCTCTATTTGTGATATTTGTTTCGACGTTTTAATGTGCATTTAATTAAAGCTCTTCGTTTCTTTTGTGTTCTATTTTGAATTGTCGCAGACAAATCTATGGTTTACATATGGCTATGCTTTGTGAGATTATGAATTGGGCAAATTTAGATTGTGAGGATTAATACTCGAGAAGGGAATGTTCAAGCAATCAAGAAACGGGTAGAACAACTTAGGTTGGTGTGAGGTCAAGAGATAAACATTGCCTAGGTAGCCGAAATAATTTTAGGTTGTGAAATTGAGAAGTGGAATTCCAAGAATTGTTTCTAGAGTGGAACTTAATGAAGGTAGGGGTGAATAGTTGTATAGTGATATAGGCTTGATATCACCTACACATTCTTTATGCGGCACTCGAGAGAGGGTATAAGGATACAAATCACTCTAGGTTCTTGAGAACGTTGAGTTAGGTTAGGCACATTACTACGGAGAAACATAATCGCAATAGAGTGAAGTCAAGACCCTAGCATTGTCATTATATTGATTTTTTCTTTTTGCTTTTAGCGCGTGTTATTCATTATTGTCATCTTTCCTTTTGATTTAGTTTTCCTTTATTTTAGTTTTTCTTTGAGTTTATCACATCCAAATTTGATTGCTTAGATAAAGTAAGATATGATATTCACAATCGTTAGTTTACATTCTTAACGTCAATCCTCGTGGGACGATATTGGTCTTAGGACCGCTTTATTACTTGTACGACTTGTGCACTTGCAAGCATAGTCAAAGTTTTTGCAATAGAATTCCAAAGGCCTACGCCTTCTATCAGCATAGCTTTTCTGACGATTTTGAGCTGTCAACAGTCGTTCCCGGATCACGGCTATCTTCTCATTGTTCTCTTGAATGACCTCCGGTCCAGTACTCAGTCGATCCTCCGGTTCCAACCAACAAATAGGTGACCTATAAGGACGACCATAGAGAGCCTCAAATGGTGCCATACCGATACTGGCCTGATAGTTGTTGTTGTACACAAACTCAGGAAGATGCAGGTATTTCTTCCAGTTTCCACCAAATTCCAGAATACAAGCACGAAGCAGTCTGAGGATGAAATGAATTACTCTTTTAGATTGCCCATCAGTCTGAGGATGAAATGTTGTGCTGAAGTTCAAGTCTGTTCCCATGGCTTCCTAGAAACTCCTCCAATACCTTGCATTGAAGCGGGTATCATGATCGGACGTGATAGACAGTGGCACTCCGTGTAGTCTCACGATGTGCTCCAGGTACAATTTTGATAGAATCTTCTGAGAATACGTCGCACGGAACGGTATGAAGTGTGCGGACTTCGTCAACCTGTCCACCACCACCCAGATGGCATCGTGCTTCAGCTCGGTTCTCGGTAGCCCCATCAGAAAATCCATAGTGATGTGCTCCCATTTCCATCTAGGGATAGGAAGAGGTTGCAACTCTCCCACTGGCTTCTAATGCTCAACTTTAATCTGGAGGCAAGTCACACATTCTGAGACATTATGAGCCTTTCGCAGAATCGTCTTCTTTACCCCATCCACTTTAGGAACAACAAGGCGGTTATGGAAATATAAGGCTCCATCCTCTCGAATTCTCCAATCCTCGAGTTGCTCTCCATTCTGGATTCGAATCCAGATTCCTTAGAGGTGTGGATCTTGCAATTGATTCTGCTTAACCCATTGCACAATATCCGGTGTAGAGCCCAAATTATACACCATAACCTGGTTATAATCTTCGTAGAACTGAAGATTATACTCACTCACCACTTCAGTCATTTTCCAATCTTCCAAAGCTAATGACGCCAGAGTCCCTGTCGTCTTCCTGCTAAGGGCATCAGCCACCACATTGTTGGGAAAAGTGTCCAAGAAGCATGAGATGTAATATGATATTTATTATTTATTTAATAAAAGAGTTTATTCATCATTTTATGTGCATATATTTATGAATAT